GTCCCCTATTTCATTGAATTACCATTTTTTCACCTGAAGAATTATACTGGGTAGGTGATTCTTGGTTGTAGTCTTATCTCCTTTGCCCTCCAGAATATTATATTCCATGCCCTGCGGTCCCTTAATGTAGAAGCTGCTAAATCTTGTGTTATCCTGATTGTGTTTCCACAATACTTGAATTGTTTCTTTCTGGCTGCTTGCAATATTTTCTCCTTGACCTGGGAACTCTGGAATTTGGCTACAATATTCCTAGGAGTTTTCCTTTGGGGATCTCTTTCAGGACGTGATTGGTGGATTCTTTCAATTTCTATTTTGCCCTCTGGTTCTAAAATATCAGGGCAGTTTTCCTTGATAATTTCTTGAAAGATGATGTCTAGGCTCTTTTTTTGATCATGGCTTTCAGATAGTCCAATAATTTTTAAGTTCTCTCTCCTGGATCTATTTTCCAGGTCAGTTGTTTTTCCAATGAGATATTTCACATTCTCTTCTATTTTTTCATTCTTTTGGATTAGTGTTACAGTGCCTTTATTTCTCAAATTGTCACTAGCTTCCAATTTCTCCATTCTAATTTTTAAGGAAGTATTTTCTTCAGTAAGCTTTTGGACTTCCTTTTCCATTTGGCCAATTTTGCTTTTTAGGGCATTCTTCTCCTCATTGGCTTTTTGGACCTCTTTTGCCATTTGGGTTAGGCTATTTTTAAGGTGTTATTTTCTTCAGTATTTTTTGGGTCTCCTTTAGCATCACTCTCAGTTTTTCCTCTACTTCTCTTACTTGCATCTCAAAATCCTTTTTGAGCTCTTCCATGGCCTGGGACCAATTCATATTTTTCTTGGAGGCTTTGGATGTAGGAGCTTTGGCTTCATTGTCTTCTTCTGGTTGTACATTTTGATCTTCTTTGTCATCAAAGTAAGATAATATAGTCTGACACTTCTTGCAAGGTTTGCTCATGATCCCAGCCAATTACTTCAGTTATAAACTCTTTGTTAAGGTAGGAGTCTGCTTCCAATGTAGAGAATGCACTGTCCTAAGCTTCAGGGATTTTGTACAGCTGTTTTCAGAGATACTTGTAGGGACCTGTAAATTTTCAGTTCTTCCAAGGTGGTATGACAAGGGTGAGGTGTTTACTCTTTTCCTGGCCTGTGTTCTGGTCCATGAGTGACCACAAGCACTCTTTTCTGTCTTGGAACTGTGAGGAGGATTTTCTCTTCACCATGCCAGCCCTCCTCCTCGGAGACTGCTACCCAGAACTGTGACCCAGATCCAAGCACAGGCAAAGCAAGAGAATCCTTCACCAGCAGAGTGATCCCTGCAATCGCCCTCTGATCAGCCACCCTATTCCTCCTCAGTCTGTGGGCCAGAAGCTCAGGAGGCAGCCACCACCGCCAGGGCCACGCTCTCAGGAACTGGAGCTGAGACCCTGCACTCCTCCCTCACCACCACAGAAAAAGACTTTTCCCACTCACCTTCTAGGTTGTCTTTGGCATTCATGGGTTGAGAAGTCTGGAAACCGCCACAGCTGCCTGTGATTCAGTCCTCCGAGGCCTGCTCCAGGTTCTCTTTGGCCTGCATGCCCATACTGCACTGCGCTTCTCTCCCAGAGCAGCATGATAAACCTTTCTGATCAACCATCCAGGTTGTCTTGGGCTGGAAATTTGTTTCACTCTGTCTTTTTGTGGGTTCTGCTGCTTTAGAATTTGTTTAGAGCCATTTTTTATAGGTATTTGGAGGGGTTTGGGGGAGAGCTCAAGCAAGTCACTTCTTTCACTCCACCGTCTTGGCTCCACCCCCTGAAAGTTAATTTCTTTTAATTTGTTTATGATGTGGCCTTTTAAATCTAAGCCTCATATCCATTTGGAGATTACTTTGGTGTGAGTTGTATTTGGTATGAGTTGTTGATCACTTTAAATGATCAAACTTTCAAGATTTCAAGCTTTCATAAGGAGAGGACTAGAATTGAACAAAAAAAAATTTTTCCCTTATCCAAAAGCAGCTTAAAAAGGGGGAAATGGAAAAGAAAACTTATGGGATTCAATGGAGCTGAATTGTAATTCTAATATGGGGTTAGAACTTCAGCCAGAATGAAGTGAACAGAAACAGAAGTCCAATTTATCCCATAACATCAATATTAGAAAAATGAACTTTTCAAAGACTAATGAAGAATGAAATGAGCAGAACTAGAACAATTTATACGATGTCACAGCACTATAAAAATGAACAAGTTGGAAAGCTGTAAGAACAAGAATCAGTACTGTGACCATTTATGATTCCAAAGTACTGATGATGAAACATGCTCTTGGTAACAAGGATGATGGACTTAGGGCTCAGAATATGTATTTTTGTGTACAGACAGTGGAGGAATCTGTTTTTCTTGACACATATGTTACAAGATATTTGCTTCATTAAGAAGTTCCCAGGAGAAATTAAACCCCCCTCCAACTGCTTTCCCACAGCAAATAATTTATCTTTCTTTGAGTCATTCAGAAAAAGTACATTTCAGTTATTCTTACTCTTTCTCCCTAAGAGATGAGCAGTATTAAATATTTAGATGTATGCAAGTATTTTGTGTTTATGAATAGAGTAATGAATTCAGCTAGGAATAGTGTAGATACCAAAACTGCCAAATTTATTTCCTGCAATCCAGTTAGCCTTCATTAGTGGAAAAGTGGGAAAAGTGCTATATTTAGAATACCAGGACCTGTATTGAAATCCAAGCTCTATTGCTTTTCATAGATGCCATGATGGTTTACTTAGAGAACCCTAGAGAATCAACTAAAAAGTAAGCTGAAATAATGACTTCCACAAAGTTGAAGGACAGAAAATAATCCCAGGTATAGGATCAGCATTTCTGTATGCTACTAACAAAACCAAGCAGGAGGAAGAGGGGGAAAATCCATTTAAAATAACTTCAAAAAATATGAAACACTTGGGAGTGTTCCTTCCAAGATACATCAACAGCTACATGAATACAACTAAAAGTACTTTATTGAAACACAGACCTAAATAATTGGAGAAATATTAATTGGGCATGGGTAGACTTAGACATTATCATAAAAATGGCAGTACTACTTATATTAATGCACTTATGCAATGCCATAACAATCATGCTATTGAAGGTCTGTTTTCTATAGCTAGAAAACATAATAACAGATTTTGTCTGAAGGCACAAGAGGTCAAGGATCTGAAGGGAAATAATGAAAAAAGTTTGAAGGAAGCAAAAGGGCCTAGTAATTCCATATCTCAGATTAAATTACAAAGAAGTAGTTATGAAAACAATTCAGTTGATCAAAATAATAGAACGGTTGATCAGTGGAACAGATTAGAAATATAATATATGGAAGCAAATGAATCTAGTAGTCTATTGTTCAATAAACTTAAAACCTCCAAATGCAGCCATAAGAAGTCTTTATTTGACAAAAAAAAAAAAAGCTAGGAAAAAAATGGAGTCTGGCAACAATTAGGTTTAAAGTGATCAAGAATTCACACCAAATACACCAAATACAACTCATACCAAAGTAATCTCCAAATGGATACGAGGCTTAGATTTAAAAGGCCAAATCATAAGCAAATTAAAAGAAATTAACTCTCAAACCTGTGAGTAGAAGATGAGTTTGTGACTAAAGAGAAGACAGAGGAAAGGATTATAGGATGGAAAATGGACAATTATATAGAATCAAAAAGGTTCATGCAATCCCCCCCAAATAAAAAGCAATGATGGGATTAGAAGGAAAACAGTTAACTAGGGGAAAATCTTTTTAACAAATTTCTCAGTTGAAGATCTCATTTCTAAGATATATAAGGAACTGATTCAAATTTATAAGAAAAAACCATTCCTCAATTAATTAATAGTCAAAGGATATGGACAGACAGTTCTCAACGGGAGAAATCCAAGTTATCAATAGTCATATGAAAAAAAAATGCTTCAACCCACTAATCATTATGAAAATGAAAATGAAAACAACTCTGAGGTTCCATACCCATCAGATTGACAAAGTTGACAAAAAAAGAAAAAGAAAATGACAAATGTTGGAAGGGCTTCAAGAAAACAAGCATTAATTGACTACTAATGTAATTGTGAATTGGTACAGTGATTCTGGAAAGCAGTTTAGAACTGTGCCCAAAAGTAGTCTCCATCTTTAAAATAAAGGAGTTGAAGTACGTGATTTCTGAGGTTTCTTCCAACTCCACATTTATGAACCTATAAATTAAATCTTTCTTCTAGATAATAAAAATTCAAATACTTGAAAGCTATTATAATGTTCCCCTTAAGTCTTCTGTTCAAGAGGCTAAAAATTCCTAGTTCCTTAAACCAATCTTTATTTGGCTTCAGTTTAAGGCCTTTCTCCACCCTGGTTGCCCTCCTTTGTACATTCTCTAACTACTCATTGTCCTTTAACTGTGGTTCTCCGATCTCAATATAATCGTCTAGATTTTCAAAGCAGAGTACAAGAAAACTATAACCTCCTTATTCTTTGAAGGCATGGACCTCAATGCACTTCAACATTGCATTAGTATTTTTGGCTGCCATGTAGCTTCCAGTTCACTTTTGGGTTCTGCATGTGACACAGAGCAGGAGGTGCAAAAATGATTACTAAGCCACAGAGTTGTAACTAGGACTGCAAGCTTCTGTTCTGGGAATGTTCCCGTTGAATGTGTTCAGTGAGCCTAATAAGCCTTTTCTGAAGGATTCTGGGAGTCTTGACTTTAGAGATTTGGTGACCCTGATTTTGGTCTCTATATGATTGTAAACCAATGCCCCTCCCACTACATGTTAGCATGTCTTAGCATCTTTTATTGAAGCGTGAAGATTTTGTGCCATTTTCTGGAATCAAAGTAGTTTCTCCAGCTGTCTTTTCTGTCTCATAATAAAATTCTGATATTGCCTTTCATACATGCCCTGCAAGACCAAGAGAGATGGACAGTGTATCAAAGTTAAAAAGCAACATGAGAGCCTGTCTCTGACCAGTTGTCTTGTTGAGATCGTCCATGTTTATCTTCCACAGTGCCTCCTGTCATCCGTGTTTATCCGGAAACTCAGGCCCAGGAACCTGGAGTCTCTGCCAGTCTGAAATGCCATGCAGAAGGCATTCCCACCCCAAGAATTACCTGGCTAAAAAATGGCATGGATGTTGGACCTAAACTGTCTAAGCAGCTCTCACTCATCGGTAAGTACCAGCCGTGGATTGTGTATGTCCTTCATGGGTTAGGTACAAGCTACAGTATTCACTAGACAGGAAAAACTATGTTTTTAAAGCTTAGATGTTGGAAACGAATAAATTTCAGGCCTTCCAATTTTTTAAGAAGCCTAGGCTAGGTAACAACCTCAATTGTACTGTTGGGAAATTTTTTTGGTCCTTCGCAAATAAATTGGGGGAAGTGTCCATATTATGAAGTGAGGGTAAGATAGTGAAAAAGCTTCTACTTCATGAGCAAGTATTTCACATCTAAGCTGCTAAACAAACATTCCAATGGATTCCCCTACCATTATGCCAATGTTTCCGTTACCTAAATTTCAGGTTTCTTTTTGCAAATGTAGCAATATGTAAAACTTTATAAAAACAAACATTATAACAATATGTAAAAAAATTTTTAAAGGAAAACTTTTATCCTATTTTTGAAAAAAATTATCTTAAGCAATATTGTTTTCTCTTACTTAAGAAAAGATTATATGGCAGATGGCTTCTGGTGAGGTTAAGCTTGACTCTGGTGAGGTTAATGCATCCTCCCAACCCCTCTATATAGAAATAGAAGACTAGGGACATGGAACATTTCATTTACTGTCATATATCTTTGGTATACTGATTGGTTTTGTTGAACAACTTTTTTTCTCCTTTTAAAATATTCGTTTCAAGGAATAGTGGCTGGGTACAAAAGTACACAAATAAGATTTAAAAGAACATCTCCTAACAATGCACAATAACAACTAGCATCTCTAAAAAGAGGAAGACACCTTCTAATGTGACCCTGCATTTGAATAAGAATTTGTAAGCATAATCTTGTCACATTCTTGACCATATTCCTCTGGCTAACATCCAAAAATTACCCTCTGTAAATGTCTTTGGTATCCTTGTTCCCAGCCATAATGATTTTGAATAACCTATCACCCACTTGAGAGGCCAATCCTAGACTCTTGAATTTGATATAATGAGACCATGTGGTACAGTGGAAAGACCAGATCAGAGGACCTGGTTTAAAATCTCAGGTCTGATGCTTACTCTCTGTGTGAACTTGGGCAAGTCATTTTTAACCTTCATGAGCTCAGTTGCATCATTTTTAAGTGACTCCTCTGAGGTCCCTTTTAGCTCTAGCCATGATCTTATGAGGTCAGCTAGGTGGCACAGTGGATAGAATTCCCAACCTGGGATCAGGAAGGATCCTTTTCCTGAGTTCAAATCTGACTTCAGACACTTATTAAGCAAACTCTGTTTGCTTCAGTTCCTTATCTGTAAAATGAGGTGGAGGAGGAAATGGCAAATCACTCTAGGATCTTTGCCAAGAAAACCCCAAATGGGGTCACAGAGTCGGATATGACTGGAGAGTTATTGAGGTAGCAAGAAGTAATCAGATCTCTGGTCTCAGGACCTTGGGTAAGTACAATGAGCCTTTTATAAATGCAGACATAAATAAGGTAAGGCTAGGGCTAAAAGTCTTGAATTAGTTTAAATCTTTTATTTTTTAATAGCCAATGGAAGTGAACTTCACATCAACAGTGTGCGTTATGAAGATACAGGAGCCTACACATGCATTGCTAAGAATGAAGTAGGTGTCGATGAGGATATTTCTTCTCTCTTTATTGAAGATTCAGCCAGGAAGACCCGTAAGTTTGTGGGGGATTTTCATCTTTAAATTTCTTTAGAAATAATACATATTCACAAGATGTAGTTGCTTGCTTGCTTTTAATCCAGAGTACCTGTCTTGATCTGGACAATAGAGGCCAGCCTTTACAACTGTGGGAGCACAGATATTGTTTGGGGGACTAACCATGGTTGTCTCACCACAAAAGGTAGATAGGACTCATTTAGACTTGATAAGCATCTTATAAAAAAAAACAAAGGTTAAAGTGAGAGGAGTTGGTGATTTTCAGTACAAAAATTCTACATATAGTTTACTATGAGCTTTTCATGGAAGATAATTGGAAAACAATAAAAGAAAGTCCAACAGATTACATTTGCAGCATCTAAGTCCTTTGGGCTATTGTTTTCCTTAGGAGGTTCTCCTCATGGCCATTTCTAAGCTATGGAATGATTTTAGCCTTACTGTATTGCACACCAGGGAATTTGGGGGGGAGGGTGGAATCTATGGACCCCTTCTCAGAATAACATTTTAAATGCATGAAATAAAATACATAGGATTACAAATGAAACCAATTATATTGAAATGCAATTATCAAAATATAAAAAAATTATATCATATATACATATATAATACATATAATAAATATTAAAAAAAAACAGGTTCTCAATCCAAGGTTAAGAACTCATCAATAAATAGATTGAGCAATGTCAAATTGTAAATGTAAGGTTATCACGGAATAAAATTAGTCAAATGAGCACTTTGCTATCCATAAGCTACCGTATAAATGTCAGGTAGTAGTTATTATTAGCATTAGTTTCCACTGATTTTACTGCCCCACATCTCTTTGGCCTTGATACCCCCATCCAGGATCAGGGCTAGCATTGCCATTCTTCACCCTTGTGAAGGTGAATTCAATGTCTGCCCAATGAGAATTTGTTGTTAAGTGCCTCTGGCGTCCCATTTCTGTGCCTTTTCCCCACTGGGTTGCACCTCCGCTCTCTAGGTCCTCATATCCTCATCTTCTTTCTTGGTAAAAATTGATCTGAAAATCAATTATACTGAAGGGTTATTGACTCAGAATAATATCGACCTTGCTACCACTTTGTCCTCCTCTCCATAAAGTCAGTATTTGCAGTTTAATGGGGACAGTGTTTACTAATGGTGGAATTTCAAGTATCAGCAATCCTTGGGGAAGTGGGAAACCAAGATGACCAGGATTAGACCCTATGACCTCTAAGATCCCTTTCAGCTCTTATTTTCTGATTCTGTGTTTGAAGTGGGAAGGTAAGAAGGGGAAGGAGAGAATTTCTTAGGCATCTCTGAATTCATATTCCCGGCTGTCCATTCTGCATGTGCCTCAGGCCAAACTCAAGAGTATTGCTCCATGGGGCTCAGTCTGGATTCCATATTTGTGTAACACCATCTTTGTGTGTACAAGGCACTGTGCAGTACTGAATTGAGTAAGTTGAATAATACTGAATAATTATTCAGTAAAAAGTTGAGTAAGACAGTCTCCATGTTCTCAAGCAGCCCATCATCTACTATAGGTACACAGGTACACATATAATCAAAATACAAACTAGTATGCAGTCATTGATGAGTCAAGAGGGGCCCAAACACAGAGTTCTGAGAGCTCGAAGGAAGGAAGACTTTTCACTGGGATGCTGAGGGCTCCTAAATCTGATTCCTGCCTGGACATGCATTGTAGTTTGACTCGTGCATAGAGAAACATCTTACTTTAATCAGTTGCACCTCTGGGATCAATTCCTGCCTCAGACACTTTCTAGTTGTGTGACCCTTGATAAATTGCTTAACCATTCTTTGATTCAGTTTCCTAATCTGTACAATGGGGATAATAATAGCACCTAATTCCCAGAGTTGCTGTGTCAAATGAGATATTTGTAAAGCACTTTGCAAACATTAACATTCTATATGGATGCTAGCTGCTATTATTATCATTACTAAATGATATTGCTATAAATGTGTGTCTTCAGTCAGTCAGAGGTTATTCTGCTTAAGCTTCTGTGAAGGTGACTTCCTTCATCATCAGCCATTCTCCCTTTAACTTTGCTAAATTAGAAGTGTTACAAATGTCAAAGATCAAGCAAGCATCCCTAAAGAATACTAGATCCTAAATGCAAGTCCAGGCTGAGTTCTTAGGAGATCAGTAGAATCATGGAGTAGCTTCAGGAATCAGCTCCTAACTTTAGCCAGATGTTCCCCACTCTTCATTAATTTTTTTTAAATAAAAGAAACTGCTGCATTACTTGGAGTACTGTTATCTTAGAATCAAAATGGCATGTTCTCGAGATCCAAGTCTATACCCAGAAGGTAATTTTGGTGCTTATAGGGGTATGAGTTCCTTCTTGTAATTGTACTTGTACCATATGTAGAAAGAGCGAATGCTGTAGTTTTTGTGAGAAGTGATTACTAAAATAACTGTTTTAATGAAGTTATTCTAATGAAAGTTTTGATGTGGCTTTGTTTTTTTGGTCTTTTTTCCTGCTCTCAATGACTTCCTGGCTCTCCTAATGCTGGTGTGCTGCAGTTGCAAACATACTTTGGCGAGAGGAAGGTACTGAAGTCCCACCCTTGGTTTTGCTTTTTTCCCATATGTTCATTGACCCTAATAATTTCATAATAGGCCATCTTTCACTGGGATACTCCTACCTCTGCCAGCCTCCATGCATTCAATATCTATTTGTCCATGAACTGAAGGACTACCTGCCCCGAAGATTATAATCTGGGAAAGGACAGCTATTGATTCTGGGGCTGAGGGAACCATTAAAATTTAGAATATTGTACATGTTAGGGAATTTGCATTAAAATGCACTAGCTTGAGTACCATTGAGTCCCATTTTTCTGAAAATAGATGGTCCCCAGAGAACACCTAGCATTCAGTTCCCATTCTCCCTAACACCTATCATATTTTAAATGTGGTGGCACTTTTTTCTTTTTTATTAATTTTAGTATTTTTAATCCTCTCTGTTTCAAAATATATCCCTCCTTCTCTTCCCCTCTGAGCCATTTCTTATAACAAAATAAAAGAAGAAAAAAGTCAATTCCACAAAGCTAAACAATATGTCAACCAAATGGGACACGATATGCTACATTCCACACATATAGTCCCCCCACATATGCCTTTCCAAAGAAGTGAGGAGGACATGCATTTTCTTCTCTGTCCTTGGGAATAAGCTTAATCACCACAACTATTCAGTTTTTTGTTCTTTCCATGTATATTATCAGTTATTGCATATATTGTTTTCCAGATTCTGTTTACTTCTCTGTATCTGTTCATATGTCTTCCCAAGTTTCCAGAGAAAAATTTCATATTCATCATTTTTATAGCACAATAATACTCCATTACATTCATTTACCACTACCACACTTGATTTAGACATTCCCCATTTGACTAACATCCACTTTATTTCCTGCTCTTTTCTATGTGATTGCATTTTTTAAAAAGCATTTAAAACATTTTAATACATTTAAGTAGCAATAGATGGTCATTTTCCATCATTAACTGTGCTTTGGCTTATTTCTCTTTTAGATTCTATTTCTGAAGTGCTTACCAAAAATGCAATTCCATTTCTTTCAATTTGACAGATATTTGTTAAATGTCTACTATGTTAAAAGAAAAGATATCAGTTAAAAAACATTTTAGTGTCTACTATATTCAAGGCTCTGTGCTGGGCACTAGACATACAGAGATGAAAATGACACAGTCTCTGCTCTCAAGGAACTTAGAAGCTAATAGGGTTTAGGATTAAGGGGAGATAGTATGCACACACACACACACACACACACACACACACACACACACACACACACACACTGTAATCGAGTATGATGGGGGTAAAGTGGAAGCCTGAACAATTTTTTTCCCCACTGTTTCCCAAAAACAAAATTAGAGCAGTACTATGTGGTTTAGGGCTTTGCTTCTCCTAACTCAGAAGATTAAGAAAAAGACTAACTAAGGAAACATTTTCTAAAATAATCCCATAAATGCCAATCACTGCAGGGAGCTGACAGACACAAAATAGCCTCATAATAAAGGTCAGAGAAATTTGGGAACAAATTAGAGAAAACTAAGTCTATTTTCATACCACAAAATTGCAATACATAGTTAGTTTTTCTGGTACATGCATAATTTCATATCTGATATTTCAAAGGGTAAAGTTTTTTTTTCCCACCAAATCCAGTCTTCAATATCTTATAGAATGTCAAGTTTCCATGAAACATTGTACCAAAGCCTTATCCCATGGTAGGTACAGGAGTAAGAGCGCTGGTTCAGGAATCAGGTGACTTGAGTTCAAGTTCAAAGGCTTTGCCTTTTATCATATTTCACCATATCATCATCACAGATTTTATGCCAATTTTTTTTTGTGAAAAAGTGGGATGTGACCATTATGTGAAGTTTTTAAAAACAAAATTGTGCTGGTATTACTTAAAAACCATTTATTACTAAACTGTCTTTGGTGCAAGATTAGGATGCATGGAATACTTGTGAATATACATTAAAATTGGGAAGATACAAGTCTTACCATATCATGTGACTTACCTGCTCCCCTTGCTCTACTGCTCTTCATTGGGTTGAGTGACAATATGGTTAGTACTACAGTGCTCTAAACAAACCACGCAAGTCAGGTTTCAGAAATGCAAGTGCGCTAAGAATTCTAGGCTTGTAGCTCACAATGTGTGAGAGATAAATGTGTATCCATATACCATTGGTGAATGCATTTCTTCTCTGTTTACCTTTTAAACACTGTGACAAACAGAATTATGCCGTGTGACAATTACATGATGAAAGGTTATAAACCAATTTTTTGGACTGAAAAAACAGGGTGTGACAATTATGTGGTGAAATACGGTACTTAGTTGGTGGATCCCAGTTTTTTCATCTATAAAATGAAGAGGTTAAACTAAATGGTTTCTGGGATCCCTTCAGGCTCTAAGTCTGTGATTCAATGATTTGAAGGGTCAGTATTTTGCCAACATAAAGAATTCCTACAATTTTAAAGGGGAAAAGAAGGCTTTCTAAAACAAAAGAAGAAGAAAAAAGGCTACATCCAAATGCCTCCAGTGATAAGCAAAGCATTTTAAACAAAAGCAAACCTTCTGGCTATTTCTTGAATCATATTTCCTAGAGTGGTTTATTTACTGAACCCTCAAGCACATGCAGAAATTTCCCTCAAAATTTCAAGCATTACCTTTGTAAAGATTTAATTTAAAAATCCATTCTAGAGTCAGTGAAAACAAATATTGTTTCAAGAAAATAGGACTGGTCTTTCCTTGAGAGGCTGACCTTGTCATTTAAAGTAAAAAAACTTCCATGAAAAGTTTTGTTGGGTATAGACTGATAAGCCTTTGGTTATACCAGGGGTGGAGAACCTGGGGCCTCAAGGCCACATGTGGCCCTCTAGGTCCTCAAGTGTGGCCCTTTGATTGAATCCAAACTTCAAAGTTTGTCATAGGACTACACTTGAGGACCTAGAGGGCCACATGTGACCTTGAGGCCACAGGTTTCCCACCACCCCTGCACTATACTAAGCAACTAGATATCCCGTTCTCAGAGCTTGGGTGTTAACTGTCATGATTATCTGATTGGCTGCCACGAGAAATATGTATTTTTGAGAGAGAAGAGATGGAGAGAGAGCAGAGGGGTTTGTGGGGACTGGAGAAGGAAGAGGAGTGGAGAGGAGAGAAGGGAGGAATAGAGGAAGAGATAGAGGGAGAAACTGGGCAGGGTGGGAGGGACAGAGAGAGAGAGAGATGCTTAAAAGAATCAGAAGCAAAGACTTCTTGAAGAAGAAATACTTTGAATTTGAAGAAATGTGCCTTAAGTAGAAAAGACACATCCTTTCCATGGCAACCACTAAAGGAGAATTGAAAAGTCCAGTACACACAAAAAATTATGATTTGGTTATGATAAGCCAATAAATATGCATATAGCAGCTAAGTAAGTAAATGGTGACCACCTTTTTAAGAACAGATTTGTCTTAAAATCATTTGCTTCCCTCTGCAAGGAATTACTCTAGAAGTAATTTCAGAGAAAGTGAGAGTAAGTTTAGTGAGTGAGTAAGCAAGTGGTGCTTACTATGTAAGTACTGGGCCTGAAGTCAGGAAAATCTGACTTCAAATCAAGCCTCTTATATATACTAACTGTGTGACCCTGGATAAATCACTTAACCACTGTTTGCCTCGATTTCCTCTACTAAAAATGGAGATAATAATAGCACCTACCTCCCAGGACTGGTGTGTGGATCAAATGAGCTGATGTTTGTAAAGGTCTTGGCAATCCTTAAAGTGCTATGTAAATGCTAGCTACTTTGTGCCAACTAATATGCTCATCACTAGGAATACAAATACAAGCAAGTGATACAGTCCCTGCCCTCAAGGAACTCACATTATAATCTAGAAAGACCACACAGAAAGGGAATGTATACATCCCACCCCTCACAGGTCTGGATGATTGCCAGAGTTGGATATTATAGACAGCTACAACCTCTGTATATAGATTATTAAGCCCTAAGTGTTCTATTAGATGTAGATTTTATTAATGAAGGTAATTTGTGATTTTATTGGCAAAGAGAATTCCCTTTTGACACAGATGTATAATTTACTGGTGTAGAGAGTTGCCTTGGTCACTGAGAGGTAAAGTGAAGACCATATCACATGATGAAGCTGGAAGGATGTTGTAAAAAGAGAATTGAATTTGGAGTCAGAGAAATGGGTTCAGATACCAGCTGTACCTATAAGCTGTATTACCTTGAAAAAGTCACTTAACATCTCTCAGCCTCAGTTTCCTCATCTGAAAAATGAGGGGTTCGAAATACATGACATCTATGGTTGCTTCCAACTTTGAAAATCTATGAAACCCCATATTTTAAAAGAAGACTGGCTCATGAGACTGTTTTAGCTATTAGAGAAATTGTACCTCTCAAAGTAGGCTAGTGAGATTTGAGAGAATATGATGAACCTGGGAAGTTTCCCAAGCTGATAGAGATGGAGGTTCTATTCCCATGAACTCTCTATACTCTTTCAAGCATTGTCTGGCCTGAAGTTACATTAGGGAGATGGGGCATGAGGGTCATTCTCAGCGATTCCCTGGGTCACACGGACATCCAGCTCTTCATCCTTTAACTATCTTTTTTTTTTCTTTTTGGCTAGGCAGTGGAGTTAAGTGACTTGCCCAGGGTCACAGAGCTAGTAAGTGTTACATGTCTGAGGCCGGATCTGAACTCAGGTCCTCCTGAATTCAGGGCTGGTGCTCTATCCACTGCGCCACCTAGCTGCCCCTATCTTTTTTTTTCTTCAGCTTTACTCTTAGCAAAGCCCTGTAGGAGTCTGTTGTGCTCCTCCCTCATTGATGTTAAGGGTTTTTCACATAATGGACTCCACGGTTACTTGATCTGAAATGAACACAACCAGGAAAACAATTTATATAATGCCAACAATACTGTGTAAACAAATAATTTTGAAAGCTGTAAGAACTGGGAGCACTACAATGGCCATTCATGATTCCAGAAGATTGACGATGAAGCATGCTATCCATTAAAGAGGATGTATTACATG